ACTAACACGACCACCATGCGTCATCTTCGTCTCTTCTCTGCTGAGTAACCAATCACTCGAGAGTGGGTAGTAAAGCTACAATCATGGCTCACTAATTTGCTTATTAGTAACAACTACTGCCCTATTAGGTCTGCAGTTGTGGTTTTGCCTTTTCTTTTCCCCATCAATCAATTTCCGGTCACGCGATTGCCACAATCTGACAGCACAGTTACTGATGCTACGAGGGAATGAACTGGAACAGTTCTGTGCCTAATGGCAATAATCCTAGTGTCGACAGGTGTCAGCGCTACCATTTCCATGCACCACTTGTCTGTTGGCTCCTAGGCTCCTAGCCCAATTATATGGTTGAACACACGGTGTGTTTAAACAAGGAGCCGTATGAGCGTGACACACTGTCAACTCGGTATGTGGACTCATGTATTAGTTATACATATATCAGAGGTAGTGAGCTCACACAAGCAATTCACAGCGCACAGCTTGTTGACTGCGTAATCGATATGCGTATTGGATAATAATATGCCCTGAGTATGATTATGCGAGCTTAACATTCCCAAGAAAGCTTCTCTTATTCAGGTTCTGAATAATCCATCCAAATCAACTGCGAAGTTTCAAGGGCAAATAAATATTCTTAGGTCTTTGAAAACTCCCAAGTAATCTGAACTTATTGACCTGCTATGAGGAAACACTCAATCAAATGACAGACAGGCCTAGAGTATACATTATTTGCAAATGCTACAATATATAACATTAAAAGCCAAAAGGCTATAACTGTAAAATTTAATATAAGGATGTTAAGATTCGTATTGTGGTACAATGTAAGGGTATCATTTGGTACCCATTTGTAATATCTGAATTCTTAATTGTAAGTCCTTTTCCTACAAGGCATTTCAAGATGTAAGGACTAGACTGCAAATTTACTGTCTGTTGTCTTCGCAATCCTATTTCTAGATGATAGCATGGCGATCCTAATGGCGTTCAGAGCACCTAGTCTGGAAATCATTGGGCTCACGACCATATTCGGCAACGTCGACACAGAGGGCGCAACACGTAATGCGCTATTGCTGGTAAGCATTTGAGATGGTTGAGCTTTATTTATTTATTTTCTTGGATTCGCTAATAATGTTAAGTCCTACATGGGCAGTGTGAGAGAGCAGGACACCCTGAAGTTCCTGTAGCAGAGGGAAGCCACGAGCCCCTAAAGGTTGTTAGCTCATGATATTATCTTGTGTTGTTTTCATGACACTGCAAGAAACTTGCTACTCTTTTCCTTAGTTTGCATTTCATATTACCAATTTGCAATGACTGAAATTTCTGACTTGATCTCCATCCATCAAAAGTTCCGCTAAGTGAAAGTTTATACCAATATAATATGACAAAGTTGTCTTTCCGATGTCTTGGATGGAAACACATGGTACACTACCTTTTCTTTTATGGTACAGCATGGTGTTTCGCACTGTATCTTTTATAATATTACTTAACATTGTTTGCTTGTTGATAATTGTTAGTTAATAGATGTAGCAAGAGAATCACATTTAACTTGTAATAATACTATGTTACTTGCAAAGTAATTTTATCTATAGTACAGTTTGAATCCACATAGCACTGCATTTGTCTGGATGAACTGAATGATCGATACTTTGTGTTCATTAGGGAGGAAAGCCCCGTATTGCTGATTTCGTTCATGGGTCAGATGGCATTGGGAATCTGTTTCTTCCTGCACCCTCTGCTAAGAAGGTTGAGGAAAGTGCTGCTGATTTCCTGGTTAATAAGATCTCTGAGTTTCCAGGAGAGGTCTCTGTGCTTGCTTTGGGACCCCTGACAAATGTAGCATTGGTATGTTCAGGATCATAGGATTAAACCTATTTATTGTGCTGTATATTCTGTGCTATATGTTATGACTCAGTGTCTCTGTTCTTGCTTAGGCCATCAAAAGAGACCCTTCTTTTGCAAGCAAGGTGAAGAAAATAGTTGTACTGGGTGGAGCTTTCTTTGCTGCTGGAAATGTCAACCCTGCTGCTGAAGCAAATGTATGTTAAAATACTGCATTATACTTGTGGAGGCTAATACTTTAACATAAGTATTAAACCTGTGCATTACTCTGCAGATCCATGGAGACCCAGAAGCAGCTGACATAGTTTTTACTTCAGGAGCAGATATCATCGTGGTTGGCATTAACATAACAACACAAGTCTGCTTGACAGGTTGGTTCATTGATAGTCTGTTGTGTAGAGTTCAAGTTCCGGGGTTAACTATATTCACCATGTGATATTCGTTGTTTTAGATGAGGATCTCTTGGAGCTAAGAAACTCGAAAGGGAAGCATGCACCGTTGTTATCTGAGATGTGCAAGTTCTACAGGGATTGGCATGTCAAGTCTGATGGCTTCCATGGTATTTGAAAATATATATACTACTGTTGCATGCTTTTGCCAATTACCATCAAATAGTAGAAGAAACACACTTTTGACAGAAAATCGCAATCTGTTCAGGAATTTTCCTTCATGATCCTGTGAGCTTCACTGCTGTACTTCATCCTGAGTACTTCACATTCAAGAAGGGTGTGGTGAGGGTGGAGACCCAGGGCATTTGCACTGGCCACACTTTGATGGATCAGGGATTGAAAAAGTATGCTCTTTTCTGAGTAACTCATAAAAGATTGACCCATCTGATGTTGGTTAATTTCAACATTCTTACATACACATTGATATGACCTAAATCTCACCAAATTACTTTATAACTCTTGGAGTAAGCAAACCAAGGCAAAAGTTACCCCACAGGATCTATATGTTTCAGCAAATTTCACACTTGTTTCTGCTTGTTTTTACTATGATGCAGGTGGAATACAGAGAACCCATGGTCAGGGTATAAACCAATTTCAGTTGCATGGACGGTTGATGTACCAAATGTTATCAGCTTTGTAAAGAAGCTGCTCATGGCACCATGAGCAAATTACAACCATTTAATGACATCAGCGCTCTCTGATGTCCAAGAAAATTTGACAAGTACAGAGCCTCTCTCCCAGCTGCATTGTAATTAGTTCCTGGACCTAGGAAGCTTCCTATTCCTCCAATAGTAAGGGGGTCACCTTGATTGTTTGAGTTGAGGTCTTAATGATTCAGATCAACCTCCGTACATGTGATTAAAAATATCAATATCACAAGAGTGGATAGGTTGGTCTAAGCCATTTAGTCCTTCAAATCTGACAGTCAAACTGTGTCCTGAGAAACATAGGAAGCTTCATTGTGAAAGGTTATGCAGCAGTCTCAAATACCATGAAGTAAATTCTGGCATACGACAGTATGTCTCACACATTTTGTATCAATACATTTGGAATCAATGAAGTTTCCCATACTCCTTACTGCATATTTTCCTCAAAGATCATAATCTTGTCTTGTTTTAATGTGCCTCTCCTCCCATGTTTTCAGGCGAAGAAAACGATACGCTTGACTTTGACCCATACTCCTTACTACATACTGTTCTAAATCTGAATTGGCAACAGTGTTTCTTGGAAGTTAATCATATATAGCAAATTGCCAACAAGGCATATGATGATTTGGATACAACATTCTTCTGCGTGACACTACTTTCTGATCAGTTATCCTTCTCATTTTCATTGTCAATGCACATAGATATTACAGATCGCTTTGATTGTAACTGGCAACAGATCACAAAAGTTACATAATTCAGATATTCAGCTAGGCTACCAGATAACACAATCACATATATATTATTTTTCATTACTTCAGATGCGGCCTTTCACTAATACATCTAACAATCCAGTCAACAGATAACAGATGCGGTCTTTCACTAATACATCTAACAATCCAGTCAACAGATAACATATTAACATCTTTTGCAATTACCATTAGTATACATTTTTTTTCATTACTTCAGATGCGGTCTTTCAGTCTGCACTGCCTGTACTGATATAGAAGGGTGTTTTTTTTTTCAAAACAAAGTACACACAATTTAAGAGAAAATAAAAGAACTTAGCCAAGGTGACCCCCTCAAAGCATAAACTTGACAAAAGGCGCCTGAAGTGTACCAAAGTCTTGCTTCATCTTTTATTTTTCCAAAGAGTACATGTGAACTTCCTCTTAAAATTCTTGCATTTTGCACTTACCATATCTCCTAGGAAACAAGCAGCAGCAGCGACCTCAGCGTCTTCACTGGCAGCCCAACTTCAGAACCCACCATGCGCCACCACTGAGACACTGAAGCAAAATTATGCCACTGCTCTGTGCTCGGAGAACTTACATTAGTCCATGATCGAATATCATCCCAGATCCTCTTTGTGTACCTGCAGTGCGCAAGGAGGGTGGATCGCGGATTCGCTGATCCTTTGACAATTGAGGATGGTATGAATAATATGAATTCTGCGAAAAACTATCGTCCTAATCAAATGGCCTTTGGATCAAAGTCGAACATATATATGTGATCTTGGAGCTGCCAATTGCAGTCTTGCTTACAAAGGTGCCAACAAGGTAAATAACAAGTTGGGCGGAACAGTCGTCGGCATCACATAGTTATTTCTGATCAGTTTTGCTTCTAACGGCCTGTTTGCTGGTTGGTTTCTGGGCTGATAAGCCCGGCTGGTGCTGGTTTGTTGTGAGAGGAAAACACTGTTGGCTAGCTGATCAGCCCTGGCTGAAACCAACAAGCTAAATTTGGTCGATACCTTAGGCAGCAAGGATTACAGTTCCTTTTCATTGTACTCTACAGGCAGAGATTACTAGTTCAGAATTCAGATAGGTTGCTGCCGGCCAACACAAAGCACACATTTTTATTAACATTTCATATATGGTGCTTCAGTTGACCAATACATTTAACAAGTTTGTCAACTGATGACATGGCTTTGTGATTGATTACAGCCAGTAGAGATAAAACAAAGTTTCCCCCCACAAATATATGAACAAGGTGATTAGGTGAAGAAGCAAGGTGTGTCTGATACAGAACAGAGTTTTCCCCAGAACAAGGTAAAGAAGCAACAGCACAAGTCTCTTCACTTGCAGACGTACTTGAGAACACCGGGTATGTGAATTTTGTAAAAATAATCGTCCCAGTCGATGGTCTTGGGATCGAAGTTGAACATTTCATCTTCAGGGGTGTTCATCACCATCATGGACCGCAGGCGCTCCATGTTGGTGTCATCAAAGCTTCATCGCCCATGAATGAAAGGAAACAAAGTAAATTCAGAAACTGAAAAAGACCCACGCTTCATGTAACCATTTCTAGATATATAATTTCCGATTTAGTGATTGTGTAATAAAATTACAAGATGATGAACTCTAGTCGTCTGTCGTCCTGTGTACGTACCATCCTTTGAAGAAGGCGAAGGGGCCATAGACGTCAACAAGAAGCATCACATGCTTGTACTTGCGGTTGGAGTCCTTGTACAACTGGGAGAAGAGTCCGCAGAGTAGCAGATTCGACATGTGCAACATCTACAAACACGCAAAACATGAATTTCACATTTCACATTTCATTTTTCTATTCTAGAATAGAAGTTTGAAACAAACAACATGACAATGACGGAGATGGACCTCGAGTGGCAGCTTGTAGGAGAGGATCATGTAGAGGCGGAACCGCGGGATGGTGGTGAAGAAGCGCATCTTGTTGTTGGGGATGACCTCGCCGTTGTCCTTCACGCGCGGGTGCTCCTCGAAGTGGCGGCGGCCGGAGCGGTAGAGCACGGCGTACGTCACCGGGTTGCGCAGCGACGAGGTGGGCTGGTATATCGTCATGGCCTGCGCGCCGGCGCCGGCGCCGCGCTCCCCGGAGTGCGCCACCACTGCCGCCAGCATGGCGTTCACCACCATGTCCCCCGGGATGACGTCCATCACCATGCGGAGGTCGGCGAGGAAGCAGGAGAGATTCTGCTTGGCGTAGCCGATGATGAGCGTGTCGATGGTGCGCGTGCCCTGCATCCACCCGGGAACCGGGTCCGACCGCACGCTGGTGATGATGCTGGGCCGCACGATCACCACCGGCATGTCATCGTCGCCGCCACGGAGCTGCCCCAGCAGCATCTCCCCCATGGCCTTGGTGAAGACGTACGTGTTGGACCACCCGAAGTGGCGTGCCCTCTGGAGGCCCAGCTCCTTCATGGCCTTCCTCTCCGCCGCTCTCGCGTCGTCGCCGTTCGTCGTCGTCGTCGTCAGTTCGTTCTTGACGTCGCTGACCAGGCGCAGCTCGTCGTCGATGTCGAGGCGCATGCCTTCCCGCAACGCCTCGCCGGGCTTGATGGGCTTCTCCAGGATCAGCTCCGTGCTGTCGCCGGACACATAGGCTGCATCCATTGCGCGCACGCAGATCTATCAGTTTCTGCTGCTCGTCAGCACTGAGAACAGGACCAGTGGAGCACACACTGACGGACCAGAGGAGACATGCATGAACATCTTCAGGTTGGCGCACTGCTTGGCGAACTGGTAGAGGTGCTTCACCCCCATCACGTTCACGTTTAGCGAGACATCATATCTGCAAAAAAAATTTCACTTTGCAATATTCACATGCATTACACCGTTGAGAAATTCATCAACTCGCACAGCTAGCTGAGCTATGCATGCTTTTTCAGACCGACCTTTGGTAGAAGTTGGTGGTTGCAGCAATGTTGACGATGACGTCCATCTCCTTGGCCAAGTCGTCGAATGTGGGTGGCTCCAGGCCCAGGCCCTCGTTCGTGATGTCTCCGGCCAAAGGAACGACCTTCTCTTGGATGAACAGGTCGAATCCCTCGCCATACTTGTCTCTCAGGAGGCTGAACAGCTCGGTGTCGGTCACCTGCATCCACGGTGAACGCATGCAGGCACCACAAAATCACTTCACTTTATAGTAGTAGCTACTAGCTAGTCCACTACATAATCCACTTGATCACTAACGTAACATACATTCCCACAAAATATATTGTTTATCTGGTGTGGAAATACATTTCCAAATGCAAATTTAATGATACCATTTTGTTTAAATAAAAAGACGTACCTCTGATATTTATCAAGAAAAACAACTGCTAGTACAAAGATGGATAACTTGACAAAAAACAATCTTAAATTGCTAGTACAAAGATGGATAACTTGACAAAAAAACAACCTTAAAATAAAAGTACATAAAAATTGACCTAGCTATTTTCTTCTTTCGATTATCCACTATCCATCGGAAATTGAAAAACACATTAAAAAGATAGTAAGGGAAAGGAACACCTCCAAACACCCTTGACCGAATTTTTTACAATTTGGCCCTTTATTTGAAAGTTTCTCACAAATAGACCCTTGGCGGAAAGAATTCCGGAAATGGACCCTTAGTTCGGCGCCATTCATGCTGGCGCCGAGCTCGGCGCCAGTCACTCTGGCGCCGAACTCCTGGGCACGGTTCGTGACCTGCCAGGGGGCTCGGCGTCGTAGATCTTGGCGCCGAGCTCGGCGCCAGTCACTCTAGCGCCGAGGTCCCTGCATTTAACCCCGGCCCATCCTTTCTGCCCGAGCGTTCTTCCTCTTCATTCTCCTTCCTCTCGGATTTTTTCTCTCCCACTTCACCCTACCTCACGAATCGGCATATTAGACCTTGGAAACCTTGATTTGATCCGTAGATCTTCGAGAGCAAGGTATCCTCGCTCCCCTCCTAGTTTTTTTCGCATCGATTCGGTATATATTAGTCAGATTTTTGAACGTAATAATCGTCATCACTTAGGGTTTCATTCTATCCCTCAATATATGTATTATACAACCGTAGTATGATGTCTAGGCGTAGAAAAGCTAGCTAATGTAGGCGCATGTAGTTATTTTATGGGTTCATTGTTGTGCATCAAATGGGAAACCCTAAGTTTAGGGTTTAATGTTAACTGCTTTCGGTTGTTAGAACGAAATTGGTTGTATTGTAGTTATGGTTCTCATTGATATTTATTTCTGAAGTTTTGATTTATGTTTGTTTAATTACATCCATTTTGTTAGATGGAAGAAATGTTTCGGGAGGAGTTTTGGCGAAAACGGGGTCGTCCTCGAGAATTATACCCCGACGCGTCTAGCAAAGATGCCTCCGTCCCTCCTGACCTCCCTGTGTCTAACTGTGACTGTGGTCGTCCGGTCGACGTGTTTCAATCGAGACATCCGAACACAGCAGCTCGTTGCTTCTACACATGCAGTTGTTTTAATGTAAATAATTGTTTGGACTATCCTTTTTCTTTATTTGTGTAAGTATGCTACGATAGATAGTACTTTCTAACTACAAACTAAGTAATCAAGATAATAACTACGCACATATTTACAGTGTACTCACTAGATAGCTAGATCATATGTACATAACTCAAAATGTAACTACATATTTAAGTACCTATCTAACTATATCTCTGTGCCTATGTGTCTATATTTCTATCTATCTACATATATATCTCACTAGATCACTAACTAAATCAACTACCTCAGTCATCACATTAACTAATAAATAACAGATGGCAACTAAGTAGGTACATTGCATATTCATAATTTTTACCTTTCCGGGCCGGTGGAGGATGGGCGTGGGTCAGGCCGAATTCCGGGCCGGCGGCCAACGACAGCGGTGGAGCGCGGCGGGCGCGGGATGCCCGGGGCACGCCGGCTCGACGGGCGCGGGAGGCACGCCGACGGTGGAGGGCGGCAAGGCGGGGCAAGGCCGGCGGTGGAGGGCAGCAAGGCGGGCCGCGGGCGAGGCCGACAGTGGAGGGAAAGGCGAGGACCGCGGTGGAGGCGGCGCGGTGGCCAACCACGGGCAACAGCGCGGTGCGGGCACAGCGCGGCAAGGGATGTGGCGCGGCGCGTGGTGGGGGGTGGCCTCGGGGCGCGCGCGCGGGCACGGTGGCGGCCGCGGGCGCGGGAGCAGGCACGGCGGCGCGAGCTCGGCTCGGTGCGGTGCGGGGTGGGCGCGGCCTCGGGTACGGGTGCGCGATGGCGCGGCGGGAGCAAGGGCGCGGACGCGGCGGTGGCGTGGGCAAGGGCGGCGGCGGCGGCACTGCTCGGCTAGGGCGAGAGAGGGAGAAGAAGAAAGGAAAGTCGTGGGCCTGACAGATATTTCCGAGCTCGACGCCAAGATCTACGGCGCCAGTCACTCTGGCGCCAAGCCCCCTGGCAGGTCACGACCCGTGGCCAGGAGCTCGGCGCCAGAGTGACTGGCGCCGAGCTAAGGGTCTATTTCCGGAATTCTTTCCGCCAGGGGTCTATTTGTGATAAACTTTCAAAAAAAGGGCCAAATTGTAAAAAATTCGGCACCCTTGACCCTTCATATACAAGGCTCTAAAGGCCCCAAAGTCACTCTCCGCTGACAATAAGATTTAGTATCCACTAATAAAATAATATAAGCTACAGGATCCATAAAAGGTTGTGTTCAATATTGGGAATTGGGATAGGGGATGGCATGGTCCTGTCCCTATTTACTGGGTTTAGATAGTCCTTATTCTCATTGTTTGGTTAGAGGGACGGGGTTGTTCCTATTTGAGGGATGGAAATGATGAAATGGATGTCCGTTTTGCTTCCTTTAGCAACCATCAAGTTAGAGCCCATGTGTCATACTCTTATCTCCTTTCTTCCTCCTTTAGCTTCCAAGGATAAACCAAATATGTAAGAAACATTAACACGACATATCCCTCACTAGGACGACATAGCTCCGCCCACACGTAGCCCCCTTCAACCCTTGCCTATGCGGCTCCACGGTGTAGCTCCGTTCAGCCTGGCCACCCTCCCTCATCTGTGAGGAGGTGTTGCTGCACTGACCAACTGTCCTCCCTCGTCAGCACAAAGGTGCAATTGCCCCATCCTATTGCCATTGTGCTATTGTCCCGACAGTGGGGCGTGGTGGGGGCATGCGTGGCGGCGCACGGAGACACGATGCGGTGGTGTGCGGGGATGGCCTGTGCTCGGCAAGAGGACATGGGAGGGGAGGTGGGAAGCTGGTTTGAGGCGTGAGGACATGGTCCATGGCCGTTGCGACAATGTATGGGGGTGCATTGCGACAATCGGCTGGGCGACTTCATGCATAAAAAAAGAACATGAGGACCAAGACAATACTTTAGTGGAAGCTAACGATGTCACTAGGGGATGAACCCCTCTAATTTTAAGGGACAACATGAGACATCTTAGGAGAATATTCCTATCTAGGGGCGGAACCAACCCACATGACTCCGCCAAACACAGGACGAAGTGGTGGGATATCCCACCTCATCCTTATCCCACTCCCAAACAAAAGACAACCTAAAGAACACAAGCTTACAATCCCTTACCAATAGTATATAGTGCTGGAGAAATATGACATTTCCATAGAACAGACAAAAAGGAGATCACTGCTACAGAAATTTTAACGGAGGCGGGCAAAAATGGTTAATGGAGGCGGGCATTGCAACCACCTCCAATCAATGGTCACGGTTAATCGTGATTTAACGGAGGCGGTTTCCCTGCCCGCCTCGGTTAATCCATTAATGGAGTCGGACGTATTAGGGTGTCTGCCTCTGTTAATCGTTTTAAAAAAATTAAAAAAAACTAGCGAGCCCAATCGAGCCCGCCACCGGGCCCAATCGAGCCCACTACCGTCGCCACCGCGGATCTGGTCGTGGCCGATCTCCTTCGTGCCAGATCTGGGCACGACCGGCCTCCTCCCCGCTGGATCTGGGTGCGGCCGGCCTCCTCCTCGCTAGATCTGGGCGTGGCCCAACGGAGGAAGCCGCCGCCGTGGGGAAGTTCGTTGAAATTGTCACATTGAAAGCCAACCAAATGCTTGTTTCCCTAAGGAACACACCAACAACATCCAAAGAAAACCACGTATCTAGTAGAATATACTCTCGTTGGTTCTTTGTTGATGCCAAATTAGACATCGTTGAGGTATGAAGAGGCCAGAAAGACCTTATTCTAAAACTCTATTGTCACCACCACCTCATTAATGCCGTTTGGAAACCAAACCCTAAATGAAACAAGGACCAACAAAACGAACTTAGTCTATGAAAGGATGGGGTCCCTACTCCTTTAGCCATCGATGAAGTTGTTTGTAGGAAGGGAGGAGAGGGACTAAGATGGCGGTTGGGAGGAGGCCCTAAATGGCGGTTGACATTAGGGCAGTGACTGTTGTTTACGTGAAAATATTTTATTGGTACCATTTTTACACTAAATATATTATAATGTTTTCACTTGTTTATCAGTAACTCTGGCCCTCTATGGATGAACACGAATTCGATTAATCTCATCATCGGCAGCTCGGAAGAAGGTGCCTTGACAACAACTGGCTCGACAACCGTTGCCTTGGCAACGACGTACATGGTTGGAAGCTAGCGCATAGGATAGACGTGCTTGGGGCGGTGGCACAGTCAAGGGCTTATTGGGGGTGGTGGCCCTGTCCTGGGCCAAGTCCTAGCAGGCTCTTAGTGGGCTCACCGGGCACAGGCCTTCTTTTTGAATTTCTAAAATTGTTCACAGAGGCGGACATATGAGGTGTTAATCAAGATTAATGGAAGATGTTCGCCATTGTAAACTTGTTCCAGTGTTTTGGTAGCTTGATATCCATGGATGGGATAGTGTTTGGTTGAAGGATGTGATTGAATTGGATTGGATTGAGAATGGAATATATCTTGAAGATGCTAGATTTTCTGGTGAGTAAAAATCTCGCGGACTAGCTTATCCATGTCTTCTAATCTTTATCATTAGTAAATAAATTAAGGGATATTAGTATGTTATATTATTACTTAGTAATTATGATGATAGGATTACTTTTGATAAGTGCTAATACATTGATTAGTGCATGTGTTTGTGTGCTAATTAGGGTATTAGTGGTGCTAATTAACATATTTTATTTTAAATTAGTGATTATCATGATAAAATTAGTATTAGTGCATATTTATTATTGTCTAATTAGTCAACTATTCTCATCCCATCCACTTCCATCCATCCAAACAAACAGGAAAAAATGGCTCGTTCCATCCATCCAACCAAACATACATCATGGATATCTTTATCCCAATATCCATAGATCGTCATATCCCATCTAACTTCGTCCTCTAACCAAACGCACCCAAAATAGATTGGTTTTATAATTTCAAATAGAGAAAGTAATAAGAAGGTTTTATATAGTAAAATGCTTCATTCGTCTCTTGAAAACCGAGGGAGCAAGTACGCATGCAACAACATGATGCTATATTTATATTAGCTAGCTTGCCAATGTGCGTGCTCTCCTAACCGTATATTTTTCTTATAATAAATTAACGAACAGTATTTTTCAATCTAATTTTTTAGCGAAATGAACGAGACCATAAATCCATCTGCCGCTGTCGCACCTGCCACCTGGGCGCGGTACGGTGTCAACAAGGGAAAAGCGACAATCAGCTAAAATTAAGGTAGGCAGGTAGCTCGATAACCACACACGCAACGTGCAACTTGTGGTTTCGTGCGAGAAATTAAAGATTGAGTGTTGATTTGGTTGACGCTGTAACCAACACTCGTTTTTTTGTTACTATTACAAGAAACACTGCTACTGTATAACACAGGTATATATGAACAACATGTACAAGAAGATTGCATTATATGGTGTGTATATATGCCGGTTAGAGATGAAATTATTCAGAAAAACGTGCATGCTTGCATGTACAAAACAAACGTGCTGGTGATGGTGTGGATTAATCGTAATGACCTCTTGTTGGACGCGCTGCTTTGCGGACGGCGCGTCGGTCGCTCTTACGAGAAGGTAGATCCTGCTCACATCAGGCTGCACCCGCAGTATCTTCTCCACAAGAACTGCACAAATTAAACGACGACACAGATCATTCATTCGTTCTCATCACATGCAAGGCAAGCTTTGATCAACAGATAATCCATCGCATATAGAGAAGATGGTGCTCCTGTCGAGCTAGCTAGTGACGATAATACACATACTCTTTCCAAGAAAGCCAGTCGAGCCGGTGATGAGGATGGTCTTCCCCTTGAAATAGCCTATGATCCTCGCCGCGTCCATGTTATCCGTCATCGTCGCCGATCGTCTCGATCGCCTATACTCTCTCTCACACACACTCTCAATCTTGCTTGTAATTTGCTTGAGATGGTTGCAGGGAAACAGATGCCCTTTTGTGCGTGATTATGTGCAGGACGGAGGGACACACACAGAGAAGTTATGGCGGCGCTGCCTCCTGTCCTGCAAGATGCTAAAGCAGGCAGTGATCAGACAAGTGAACACGCGAAGAAGGGTCAGCATTTATACACACAAGTTCAGTAGTCTGCCCGCCGTGGTTGCTCTGAGCCTCTGACTAACAAATACTAAAGTCGCGAAGACGTGTCTGCACGAATAATTAAAGGATCACCAGCAGAAGATATAGTACTAGCAGCGTCAAATAAAAAAAACTTACGAAAAAAAAGAGGCTTAAGTTATCTTTAACTTCTAGAATAACTTCTTCCTTTCTTTCTTCCCTGTCTATAATAGTTAGGAAAGACTCCACATTGTCACGACAACGGTAGGGGAGCTTGATGCGCTCCTGTCTCACTGCTAGAACCACACCCGTGTCATATAGAAAATGGTACAAATATTTAACACCAACATCAGCAGCAGCGTGTCAGCGGTAGGAATGAATGCGCATAGCCAATATCTTCCGGTCTTTCCCTCGAACAACTATATAGGCTTGCGTGCAAATTTTCATCGTCCATTCTTCCGGTCTTTCCCTCGAACAACTATATAGGCTTGCGTGCAAATTTTCATCGTCCATTCCAGTATTTTCCTTCCTGAATCTCATTTTATCGGGTATCAGGATTAGGGATACCCAGAAGAAAGAAACTGATGACCGCGAACGATAACTCCCTCGGATGGTCAAGAGTGTATCTTAGTCTGGCCTGACTCCGAGGGTACGGGCTCCGTCTCGTCCGACCTCAAGGGCGTGGGATCCGGGTCACCCGACCTCGAGGGCGCGGGCTTCGCCTCGCCCGACCCCTCGGGTGAGAGCCCCGTCACGTCCGACCCCGAGGGCGCGGGATCCACCTCGCCCGATCCTAAGAGCGTGGGCTCCGCCTCACTCGACCCCTAGAGCGAGGGCTCCGCCTCGCCCGACTCAGAGGGCGCGGGCTCCGTCTCGCTTGATCCCTCGGGCGTGGGCTTCGCCTCGTCCGACCCCTCAGAGGGGTGATTCCGCCTCGCCCTACGGGAGTCCGCACCACCCCAGCCACTACTGGTCTAAGGGTACGAGCCTAGGGTCAAACTTCTGACGTCAGAAAGGGAGTAGGCGTGTCTTGACATGACCCATGGCCACGACGGGCCGTACCTGAAGACTCACGTCGGCAACAGTGTCGGGCGTGCCGACGCTAGGCTACCTAATCCCCGTACGACTTCCGACGGGGATATCTGCACACCATGCTGCTCGCCGAGACGGAATGGAGCGCCACGACAGCCGACGACGCCCACGTACAGCGCCAGTGATGAACAGGGACGCGATGTGAAGCCGTCCCCGTCATCATCTATAGGACTGACGGGACCCACGTAAAGGAGATGATGGGCGCCACGACCCCGAAGGCCTTCGTCCTCCTCGCTTTTCTCTCTCTCACACTCCCTCTCTCTCGTGTAACCTGTATCTTCGCCTTCGTCTATAAAAGAGGAAGCAGGACGCCCTCGGAAGGGCACGCTTCCAAGGCACAACGTCTCTAAGACATAATGCCCACACGCCTCAACAGCTAGCGTACCATCCTTCCACTAGAGACTTGGAACCGGCTCCCTCTCTCGCCCGTTTGTAACCCCTACTACAAACCAGTGCCGGTAACACGAGCAACAGCGAACTGGACGTAGGGACATTCGGCCCGAACCAGTATAAATCATTATGTCCTCCGAGCATAGCCATCTGAATCAGACGCGCAAATCACAAAATTTATTAGCCGGTGATCCGAAACACCGACAATTGGCGCGGTAGGTAGGGGCCTTTTGCGCGTCTCGTCGTCCGCAACAGGCCACGGATGGTTAGACACGGCGTGAGTTGGGTCCCGGGCGCGCACGTGTGCTTTGGGAGCCTGGATTTCTTCGTCACCGCGGAGGGAAAGCTGGCGTGGGCTCCCGCCCCCGTCCAACTTCTTCACTCCACCGGCCTCGACGCAACCATCGAGGCCCTCGAGGAGCTGCGGCTGCATGCCCCGGAGGCCCGTGCCCCTGGGAGCTACCAGCTCCTCGGCTTCGATTACGGGAGGCTGGAGAGCTAGCTCAACGCCTTCCTAGGACCCCGACTGTCCCGGGAGGATGTGTGATGCCTCACCTTCTCGTTCGCCAACGTCATGGCACAGCTTGCCGGAGGAGAATCACTCTCCCCGGAATACCTCACCCGGGACATCCCGATAGCGTTCCCGTTTGGTCTACGCAACACCGCAGGGACCATTGGTCACCTCGCGGCTTAGCGCGTGTCGATAGAATATCGTCGGCAGTCCTCCGAGGGGTACACCACGAAGGTAGATTGATCGGCAGAGGAGCGTGAGATCAAGAACAAGAAGGCAACAGAGACACACGAGTTAGACAGGTTCAGGCCGTCAGTATGACATAATACCCTACTCCTGTGGTCTGTTGGTTTGTATTAGCTATCGTATGATATTGCGTGAGTTTGGAGGGGGTCCCTGCCCGCCTTATATAGTCCGGGGAGCAGCGTTACAAGTTGGTTAGATCTAAGAGATAACCGGAAAGTAATAACTGATTACAGGAATCTCGGGATCATACATATCCTAACAGATCTCGTAGTATCTTCAGGATATCCTCTAGATGTCTTGTGGGAGCCGCCGAGCAGAGTCTTGCCCCGCAAGGCGTCGTCTTGTGGGCTGGGCTGCCCCTGGGGGCGCAGCCCATGTGGTCTGACGTGGGTATCCGGGGTCGTACCCCCCACAGCTAGTCCCCGAGCAGGGGGCGAGGGAAGTTCCCGCACAGCAAAGGACGGGAATCCCTGCGGGACAAGCGACGGCAGTCCCCGAGCAATAGATGGATAGGGCCCCAGAGAGGTAGCCAGAACAGAGGTCGAGTGTGGAGGAGCCGAGACCTCCCCCGCAGAGCACGGAAGTCGACCCCACGACAAAACTTGGGAGCTTAGGCGGGCATCGCCGGTTCAAGAAATTGAGCCGACGGACCAAACCGTAAGTGTCCTTGTCTTCGAGTTTCTTTGTTGTAGTTTTTTAACTTTTGTGGTGACTGATGAGCTGACTTGGTGCAGGGCAAGTCGTACGACGGATCTAGTCCTGCCCGTCCAGACCGACGAGCAGCCGAAGGCTGGATCCGGGACGGAGAGGACGCCAGTGGACCCATCCTAGAGTCCCCAGCTGCTCGTTAGCACGCGGGGGAACCATTTGCCGCCATTGGCGGTCTTGGCGGCAGCAAGCAGCTGTCGTCGACGACAGACGAGCCAGCGACAGCACCCTCGACAGCAGCTGGCGCCGCCGGGTCCTCTGGAGTAGAAGCTGTAGTTACCAACGTCGCGCCAGAAACTAGAGCGGAGAATCTTACGGTGCCAAAGGACCAGACGGCGCTCCCCAAGGCGCTGGGGGGCATGGTCGGACCCGCTATCCGGCCATCGAGCCCCCGGGTAGTGCCTCCGGCTATAGCAAAGGAGGACGAGGTGGAGGAGATCGAGCGTGAGGAACCTCAACCCCAAGCTGTCCGAATCCTCCGAAAACACGGTGATGACATAGTAATTGTCGAAGAGGAGGACACCACCAGGGAGTTCAGGAGACTGGAGACCGCCCTTGCCGGGGTGACGAAGCAGATCAAGGTTAGTACCGCGTCGGGAATGCTCCTTTTTGACGTTGGGAATTGGATTTCGACATTGTCATTGTGCATTTGCAGGAGATAACTCGGACTGTCGAGCAGCGCCGCCGGATGATAAAGAGGACGGAGCCTCTCGCTGAGGAAAACGAAAAACTCAAAGAGGTGGTGAGCACATCGGAGAGAAACATCCAGAGGGCTCGACGCGAACGAGACCTTGTAGAGTCCAACGCGCGGGACCTGGAATACCAGAGGGAGGTCATGTCCAAGCAACTGGCGGATGCTTCCGAGCAACTGCGTAGCAAGTTCGAGCAGCTGGCCAAAGTATCCGAACAACTACGAGGTGATTCCGAGCAGTTGCAACAGCAGTCCAAGCAGCTCAGAAGTGTATCCGAGCAAAAAGCGGGTACGGTATATAGGTGATTGCAATTTTTATTGCTGAACAGCCATATTCTCATTGGTAACTGTTGCGCTTGTAGAGCAAGATGCAGAGCTCGGCCAACTATGCCAAACCGTCGAACAACTTTGACAGGAGAAGGCGAAGGAGTCTGAGCGAGCAGACAAACTGGCCGAGGAGCTGAAAGGTGAATACCTCCTGCTTGGAATTACTGTTGAAGTAGTTTCCTTGTATGATGGAACATTGTAACGCTTGCAGGCTACCGTCATAAAGCCAAGGCACAGTTTGATGTGCTGGTGCAGGAGGCCAAGACCCAAAGAGATAACTTCGATGCTGTAATCGCCGCAATTAAACCGGTGCTGGACTGCGTCGACCTAGAAACGGCTACCCAGCCCGACGGCAGGCGATAACGCTCGGACACCATCATCAAGAGGTGCAAAGCAGGGTGGGAGAACTTCAAGAGCTTCAACCGTGACACCATCGTGTCCGTCGCTACTCATGTCCTCGTGGTGGTTCGATCTCATTACCCAACCCTTGACCTTCAGTCGATAGGGGGCGGGTTTGCCGAAGGACTGAGTGATGCAGAGACCCAGCAGCTGGAGGATGAGGTGGAGGACGCAATGAAGAATCTGGCCGATGACATAGACCTGTTTGGTGAGACAGACGGTGAAGGCGGAGCTCGGTGATCTGCTCGGAGATTATTATCTGTAATATCTTCACCGTGTGGTTAAAATGTGCGGAAGCGCAAAAAACATTTATGTATGCAATATATGTTACAAGGTGCATGTGTATGTAGTTTGCTTGTATTTCGGCGAGAAAATTTTCGTAGTTTTGGCCATGACGTACTTATAGTTAGTATAAGTAG